CTCCCGTCAGGCAGCGCGCCCAGGCAGCACCAGCGCGCAGGTCGCCTCGCGCTCCGTCGTTTCTGGTCAGTAGGGGCCCGCGGGCGGTCTCGCGGTCTTAGAGTAGGGTGTGGTCAGGCCCGCGCGCGGGAGTTTTTGGCGCGCGGGGGAAGATGGCGGAGGCACCGCAGCCGGTCTCTACCTGGTTTAGTAATATCTTCGGCGCCGTGGGCGGCCCGTGGCAGAGGGACCATCTCTGGCTGTACGTGCTGGCCCTGGGCTTCGAACCGGAGTCTGAAGACCACAGCTTGCTACTGGGAGCGTAAGTGCGAGGAAGAGCTGGAGGAGGAGGAGGTGAAGGTGAAGGGGGGACCTTTTGCGGCCGCCGCCCCCGAGCGAGGCCCTGGGTTTCAGGCAGGAACGCACGTCTCACGAGGAGGCGGGAGTCTCGCCGTGGCCGCCGAGGGGCCTGGTGCCCTTGGCGATACGTAACAGAGAGGAGATGCCTGAATTGTTGTAGTGATCTGTGTCGTCTCTGCCTGAAGAAATTAAACCCGGCGATTGTAATCACTCCAGCTCCGCGATGGATGCATGCTCCACAGTCATGGAGAAACTGAGCTGATAGGCTCTGTGCCTCTTGCTTTGAAAACTTTTTTGAGAGAAAACGCTCTCACAGAACTTCAACCTTGTTAAATAGGCTGCGTATTTTTAACTGTGCAGAAAGTAAAGCATTCAGTGTGTTAACTTTTAACGCTTTAATGTAGTATTTTGTAATCTTAAGTGGTCAGTAAGAACGCTGTGTTAATTCGGCATCCTAACTACTTCTGATGGAGCTGTTTGCTTGTGTGTTAGGGACATGTTTGATGAGCCAAACAGCAGGGCGTTTCATGTCCTTGCCCTCTTCTTGTTTGCTAAGCTGGATCTCTACTGCCCAGAAGAAACTTTCGGGTAAGTATTTGGCTTATGAGGTTACTGCTGTGCACGTAATCAAAAATATGATTTCTGCAGCTGCTGGGGGGTGGGGAAAAAGTGGTCTGTGGGGGAATGATGTGGAAGAAGAAGATACAATCAGCGAGTTTGTTTCCTTTGGTTGCGACTCTATAATGTTGCCTTAATTAAAGTTGTTTCTCATAGTACCTATAACTTGGCGAGTTTGGTAAAAACCTCATAGCTGCAAAGCAAACGTTTACCTTTACCATTCATTTGCCTGACCAAACAGTAAGTAACGTTTCCCGGTTATGAATTGCTGCCAGGATCTTCAACGTGGCAACAACCTCGTCTTAATGTTTTTCCTCATGTAGTTGAGCTATTTTAGCTTACACAGTAAAGTGTCTGGAGGAAGACCAGTGATGTGAAAATCATCAGCATTCTGACCCTTTTTTTTTTTTCTCTTCCCTTCTCTTGAGTTAAAAATTGTTGCAGACAAATCTGTCTCTGAAATAGTTTGTAATTAACTTATAATGGCAAGAAAAACTTGTCGTTTAACAAACCTTTAGCTATTCTTAGTCTAGGCTATGTCTCATAATTTTCTGGCTCCTCCAGGAGGCATCACTAAGAGATCTTTGTCTTAGTCTCATTCTTATAATGGTTAATTAGGTAACTGAATATTTAAATATGTTTTGAAATTGCCTTTTTTTTCCTCTTCTTTTCCCTATCCTTTTTAAATGGAAAGAGACTGTTCCTTTCCAGCAGCAAAATGGACTTACCCTGAATTTAGGAAGTGGTGCTACGTATGGCTAAAAGATATTGCAGTGAGTATTATGAAGAGTGGAAACTGATGCTTTACTGGTTTCAGTGACCTTACTCTTTTTTTGAGAGAATATAATAGTGCTGTTAAATAAGAGTTTTAAATAAGGTTGTTTTACCAAAGAATTCGGTTTTACCTTATGTCTTATTTCACATAGTTTATTTTAGACTTGAGGAAAAAATTGTGGCATGGTGGAATTTAGATGACAGAGACTTAATCTTGGGTGTTAAAACTGCTGTGGCTTGCTTCTGGATAATGGAATTTTATCAAGCAGAAGTGTAGAGGGTTCTTCAGCTCTGGGTGAGAATAATTTTCTTTAACTTGAGAGGTGTTTGCTTAAGTTATCTTAAGCAACTTTTCAGATGCATGAAAAATTTCTTAAATGTTGGGTTTTCCCTTTTATATGGGGAAAGTGACTAAAGTTTAAGGCAAGCTTTCTAAAGGAAGAAGAGACAAAGCAACATTGATTGCTTCAGGTATTACTGGTTATTATGTTATCTTCTCATGCTGCCTGTGTTTTAATGATAGTTCTAGAAGTCAGGTCTTTATGTAGTGGAACACATTTTTTTAGCAATAATGTTGTCTGTGTTTAGCTTGTGCCCAGGGCTAAACTGTAACAGTCACTTTGTCACCTAATGAACCCTCACCAACCAGGGAGGGGAGTTGGGAAAAAGGAGAGAAGACCCATGGGTAGAAGTCCAACAGATTTAATGAAAATACCACCAGCATGAACAGAAATATACTTGAGACAAATGAATATGCTGTTGTCACAATCTACTGCAGAGTAGCCCTCAGCAGAAGCCGGAGGAGAGGCAGGAGAAACCCCACAGAAACCCTACAGGATCTCCCTCTCCTCAGCAAACCATCCCCCTTTATACTGACCGTTATGGCATGGGCTACACCTGTAGCTCACTCAGGTCAGCTGCCCTGCCTGGCTTGAAACTGCTAATGGCCTGCCCAGCATGGCTGGGCTGTGATTCTGTCCCAGCCATACCAGGACAAAGGTACAAGGTGAAAGCCAACAATGCATTGTCTTAGAATAAAATAAAAGCAGAACAAAGTACACTTACTAATGTCTTCAGTAGAAAATATGAAAGAAAATTTGCATGTTTTTTGAAAAGTAGGGATTACTAGTTAGGAGTGAGGAGGGATGAGATTTCTAACATTTACCGTACACTGATTTTGTCTGTGTTGAAACCGTCTTTTGCATATAGAACTAGGGATGGCGGGAGGAACATTCAAAAAGTTTTGGTCACTTCTGCTGGCTAGAGTAGATTTCAACTGTGGTGACAAAGTAGTTTAGCTTTGTGCCAGGCTTTCTAGCAAGTAGGCTGCAGTGTTTTGGTACTCAGCTAAATGTTTGATAGCTGTTGTTTAGGCTTTGTTTCTTAGTTTTGTGTTTAAAATCAGTTTAACTTTTCTAGGACAAACATCAAAGCTGTCTTCCACAAATGACACCTTCTACATTAATGTCTCCTGGTGGTCCTAAATTTGTTCACCTCTTCTATTGGTTTGCAAGACATGTAGTGGTTGAGGACATGAAAACAAACTCCTTAGGTAAGTTGTAATGGAACAATAAAAATGCTTCATTTGTAATGTTTGACAGTGAATCTGTCAAGTCTTTATTATATGCCAAGAGCTTTAAGTGATTCTGAGGTGGTTCCTTCGTTCAAAATCTTTTGCAGTGTTCTGTGCACTTGGTTGAGCTTCTGATGATAGAACAATGCAGGTTGTTTTGCTTTCTGTTGTTTTATGGGTCTTGCTCCGAGGTTCATCTGTGTAATGCAGTACACAATTGCCAAACAATGGTGTGGTCCAAAAATATTGGATCACTATACTATGCTCTTTCTCACAACTTGAGGAATTCTGAAGGTTCAGAATTGTCTATTCTAAGCATCCTGTATTGTTTTGGTGACCTAAAGAACAAGGGAAGGGAAGTGTGAGCAAGGGAATGAAAATTTATATAATAGAAAGAACTGGGAAAAAGTACACTGCATACTGTATGTCAGTCTAGGTAAAATGGGCATCTTGATTTATGATTCTTTCAATTCAAACTAAGTAGATTAGGAACTTGTCTCTTTGCTAAAAGTGAATGATGTAATTCAAACCTTAACTTTCATTTAGGCACTGATACACCTTTTTCTGAAGCTTTAAAGTTGAGACCTAAGGATGTGCACATGGCAAAGGCAAGATGTAGAGTTGCATACAATAAACTTCTGCAAATTTTTCAAAAGCAAGATTTTGTTATTCGAGAGTATGAGAAAAAAGCACAGTAAGTAATACATTTAAAGAAATGGAGTGTTTTCATAAAAGCTGACTTTTGTGTGTTTTTAAAAGGGTTTGAGGAGGCTACATCTGCTTTACATCATGAATTCTGTTGAGCTTCTCCCCATTTTTTTCCCACTTAACCTCCTTTATTTGAAGGTTCTGCTGTTTGTAGGGTCTTCTGTGAAGCATGGTAGTCTAAAGAAATTAGTTTTTCAGTTACAAGGTGCTATATTTTGGAAGATGTGGTTACTTGGACATTAATTCATTTGTAGCATTCTGAAGGGTCATATCTTAGAATATAACTGTTTCAGGATGAAACATTTGGTCTTTGCTTAATCATTGTTGGACACATTTTATTTACATAATCCTTAATTATTTCTCCAAAATTATGCTATTCTTTGTTCTTCTGTATGGAAAGCATTCCTAGTTTGAGAAACAAGAAAAGCTGGAACTTTCTGTGCAGGCATAGAATTATGTATCAATGGAATTTACAGAATTTGAGTGGGATAGTTTATGTGATTGGAGCACTGTCATGGACAGTTGCAAGCTGTTCAGTAAATGGCAGAAAAGGAGGAGGAGTTCCACTATAGGTAAAATAACAGTTTTAGGGCATGTAGCATAGCTCCATACAAGAGAACCATGCCTTTGGATGAGGATCAGAGGGTTTAGCATCAAGGGAAGCCTCATGGTGCATGTCTGCTAATCTGTGGTAACTGTTAACTTTTTTCCTAGGCTTTTAATTAAAGAAATAAAACAGATACAGTCTGAATATGCAGTCCTGGAGATACAGCCTTGCAAGTAAGTGTTTTTTCTTGTGACTGTTAGCATATATAAAATTGTTTTCTTACACTCAATTTTATGAAGTAATAACTATAATTTCATTGTAGTCCACTTGAACTTTTGTCTTGCATGTGCATATAGGATGAAACAAAATGACCAAACCAAAAATGACAAAACTGAGAGAATTCAAAAGGTGAGCATTTTTTTTCTGCTGTGGCAGTGTACTCTTTATTCTTAATTTCTGCAGCATTTACTCTCAGATACTGTTATTTCCACTGTGATTATTCTAGCCCTTTCATCTGCCTTTATTCTGTTTTGATGCTCTCTCCTTATAGGTTTTATGGCAAACATTTTAATGTAGCATTTTTGTCCTTGCCTATTAAGGTGCGCAGTATGTGGACGCATATAATAGAAGTGCTTACATCTCTGAAAAAGGAAAAGGAAGTTGTGGATTCTGTATTTGGTGAACTTGAAGATCGTGATGATCAGTGCATTTTAGATGGAACGAATGTTGTTTTCAGTGTTCCACAGCTGTTGGCTCACAGAGTTGAAAGTAGCATACACCAAGTAAGTAAATTTTGTCCTTCTTGCTAAACTACTTTTGGTTTTTTTTTTGTACCCAGGGGCGTAATTAGATACCTTTAAAAAAAGAAGAGTACTTCACAGGTGATAAGAGGTGCTTGCTCAAGAATGGAGAAAATGTCTAGTTTGTATGTAAAAGTTTGTGATGATTATGCTGCTGTTTTGTATTGGTTATATTTCAACCATTAACTTTTTGAGTTCAATAACTGCATTGGTAAGTGTGCCTGATTAGTACTGGATTTTTTTGTCTGGACGTTAAAACTAGGTTGACCGATTTGACTGCAGCTTTAACTAATGACCTTGTGTTTTCAGTATGTATGGTGCTGTTTAGGCCTGCTACATATTTTGGGGCAGTGATTAAACAGAATACCTCATTAGTTGAAGTTTTCTTAGTTTGTATTGCTTTATAGACTGCTCTCAAGCAGCTGATTCTAGAAAACAAGTGTAAAGCTTAAATCTAGAGTACGCTTTTTGAAAAATGAAACAGTGGGGAACTGAATCAAAATACAAAGTGGAACTTTGTAGCCCTGCTCTGACTACAGAAGACATAACTTCATGTTATTGATTCTGTTCACTAATTCTTTTTTTTTATTGTTTAATATACTTCAAGCTTTGTACAGGAAATGTATATGAAGCTGAAAACCTGAATTTCTTAACAGTCATTCAGTTATTAAATGAAGCCCTGAGGACACTGAGAGATGAACGTTGTCAACCTGAATTAGAACAACTTTGCGTCATTGAGAATGGAATTACACGCTGCAATACAGTACTACAGAATTTGAAAGCAAAGAGGTAATTGTCTGAAAATTTTCTCTGGTTCCTTGTTCTTTAATCTAAGGATCGTGTCTTCCTACCTTGGATTTTTTTCTAAAATAGTATTTATAGTGGGAAGATGTTGGTTCAATCTTTTTCCTTTGCTTCTGCGAAATTCACATTTGTCTTGATTATCTTTTAACAGATTCTTCTCTAGGTAACTTCGACTTTTTGCCCTTGCTTCATTAATATTTTAGTCTTCGTTCCCGGGGACTTTGTTTGCTAGCAGATTTTTTTTTTTCTTTTTCTTTTTTTTTTTTCCTTCTCATTAAGCTGATCACTTCTGGGATTTTAAAACTTTATCTGAAGCTGTCTTAGGGAAAGTTTAAGTGTGTATCTCATTGTGTGCTCTACTGCGAGAAACATGAAGACTACCTAGCAGCTGCTTTTTAGCTTGTGGATTTCAGTTAGTTCTTAGTGCATGCACAAATGCATGAATACGTTGATATGTGTCAAAGATTTTGCAGGATAAGGGGAACACATAATACTCTCTATCTTTATACAAATTGTTATCTCCACCAACAGATGTGTTACGTTCATTTTCCATGCTCGTATGTTACAGGCTAGAAATAGAGCAACGTTGTGTGACAATGAGTGGATCTACTTCTGGAAAACAAGAAGACTGGGAAGTGAAGTGGAAAAGCTTTCTTGGCCTGTGCCCTTTAAATTTAATCGTAGATCAAGATCCAGTAAGTAGTGTTCAGTTTATCTGATTTTGGGGAAGAGAAAGGGTGAAGGTGAGAGAGGATGGTACATCTAAGCTGGTGTGTTCTATTGCAACACTTAAGCTTTATATGTAAGATTAGGGAATCAGATAGAACAATATAGCAGAAATTGCTTTATGAGGTAGTATTTCTTAAAGAAGATACATTTGACTTAATGGCAGTTAGTGTCTTCATTTGAGATGGGAGATAGAACCATCTTGTCAAGACAGTACATCAGCATAAGAGTGAACTGATTGATTTTGTTTTGTCCATATCCACACCCCCCCGTGCCATGGACATAGAACTTTTGTGTGCTATCAGTCTGAACAGCTGCTGGGTTCTGTTTTTCCCTCAAGTGATCTGCTTGATGAATGAACAATAATTTCCATTCTGACATTCACATTGATACAGGGATATGAGGTTATACCCTTGCTGAACTACCCTGCAGAGATAGGAAAAGTTTCATGTTGAGTCTGGTTTGCAGGAAAGCTGTTGTAAATAATTGTCTGTTAATTGCTGTTCATATGCAGATTTTTTCAGGCTGCTTGTGTAACTTTTTTTTTCTTTTGAAAGGAACTTGGTTTGTTGTGCCCTTTGCCAGCCCATTCTTTTAATCTCGCAGAAGAAGAAGATGAGGATAGCACCTTTTGTCAATATCTAGTATCAGTTTCAGGTGGGTGAACAGGAGAAGCTTCTTTTCCTTCTCCCTGATCCCACAATTGTTAAAAGTTACTTGGAGTTAAAAAGACTCCCTGCTTGTGTTTGCAATAGTCTCTGATAATGTGGTTCTCAATGACTCTTTGCCTCAATTTTTCAACCTTGTTGTGTCTCAGAAGATTCTCTGAAGCTTTTGATATGGCAAAAAAAAAATGCTGGAGCTGTTTGGTGTTTTGTTGTTCTTGCATGAAGGATGTTGAGACAGATTTCCATGTACAAAGGTTCATTCATAGGTTGTAGAGAGTACATTCACTCATAACAGTAGAAGTTGCTTCAGGTTGGAGGAGTAATAGGAAAGAGAAGATAAAACTTTTCCCATTGGCCAGCTGGGAAAAGAACTTGAAGGGGTTCTCCCAGATAAGCATCTTTCCCTGGTGTATTCTAAAATACTTATTCCCCAGTAACTGTGCCATTTGATCAGGACCTTACTTGATCTTTGTGTTGGTTGCTTTGAGTCATGAGGTTAACAGTACTGATCAGAGCTCACTTTGATCAGATGTGGATGTTGTGCTTGCTAATTGGCTGATGAGCTAATTGTATTTTACTGGTTAGTGCTCATTCACCAAGTATTGGCTGTCCTTAGTATAGAGTTATAAATTAGAAGCTACAAAGCAAGGGTGGAAAATGAGGGGGAAGACACCTTGAATTGTCTGTCATTTGCAGTCCCTTTTAGCAAAAATGACATAGCAGTTGTGTGTTGGAATTTCATGGTGCAAAGCAATAGGGAGAAGATGCTTTTAATTACAAAGCTGAAAGACTGCTTCAGCAGTCTGAAGGTATGTAGGGGTATAAGGCTAGAATCTGCAAGGGAAGGGCTACAGAATTGCAGATGGAAGGTCATTTGCCTTAAACTTGCAAAGATTAAAGCACTGGGCAATAATGCTGTGAGCTTGTGGTAGTACCAGAAAGAGATTGAGACAAACTGGTGTCCGTGGCATTCTGTCTCCTTTGTGGTTAAGCTGCTTGATCTGAGAATCCAACTGCTAAGAAAACTAACTTTCTGCCTGTTAACATGATAAGCTTAAAAAAAACCAAAAAAAAAAAAAAAAAAACCAAAAAAACCCAACCCAAAAAAAACCACACCAAAAAAACTCCATCAGAAAACCAACATTAACCTCACCTAACTTTTATAAGTGAGCTTGGATTTTGGAGGTATGTTGAAGTGAATACAAAAGGACATGTCCTTTATGTTTGCAGAAGCTGAAATTTAAGGTTAGTAGAGAACTACTGAGGTTAAACTTTGACTGTTTATCCAAATGATGTGCCAAAATTGATGTTTATTGTTTCAGGGAGTCCTGAGCTGAGATACACGTACCTCTGATAACGTGCAAAACATTTTGTTACGGTGTGCCTTGCCTTGCTTGGACTGAGGCAGCGTTGATCAGAGGGATGAGTATGTCCACAGAAATATTTATTGATAAATGCAGGTGAAGATGGTGGAGAAAACATAGGTGTAATTTTGCTTTGTGGAATTAATGTGCCACACAACTTATGTGTATATCGAGGGGAGGGGGTAATGATGACATGTGACAGGGGCTGTGGTTTGAAGGAAGGTGGAGTGTGTGATTGGTATGTGCAGGGCACCAGATAGAATGATGCCTTTAGAACATGCATTCAGGAGCAAGACAGTAAGTGCTGACTGCTAGTGGCATCTGTGGCTGCAGGTGGTATCTGAGCAAAAGGTTTCATTCTGCTGTCCTGCTTATGTGTTCATTTATTTTTCCTGAAGTGTTCATTCATCCTATGAATAGTCTACAGAAGCATGAGCAAAAAAAATGAAACAATAATAAAACTCTTTGGTTTGGTTTTCTAGATGTTTGTGACTCTATTCGTGAAGTACATTATGAGAAAGGTGATGGGGCATTGAAAACTATGATGGATAAGTCAACACTACCACCAAGACGGTATGATGTTAATGAGAAATTGATTAAAAAAGCAGTGGAAAAAATAGAAATTTACTTAAAGTTGAATATATTGCATCTTGTTAGTGGAATATTTCAGTAGCCCACTCCTTGCATGTCACATCCACCTGATTTAGCAAGATAATCCAAAAGTAACTGCCACTTTCTCCAGCTAGTGTCAGCAGCTGAGTTGCAATCTCGCCTTTTAACTACATTCTTTCAAGCTTTAAGAGGCGGGTGGAGAAAACAGTCTGTTTTTCAGGCTGGTTTGAGGTAGGCATATATGTTCAGTATAGCCTGAGAATAAAAGAAGAGACATCCAGAGGAGCCCTTCTTTTGTATTTAAAAAACTCAACTAAAACTGAACATAAACCCCCTAACTCCCAAGCAGAATTACTGTGCTAAACCTTCTAACAAGGCTTTTATTATGAATGTTCCAAAATCACTTTGTTCTGTAACTTCTCTTACTACAGTTCCAGCAAAGGATAGAGCTCATATTCTGAAAAGTTTTGGCCTGTTTGTCATTTTCTTAGTCCAGGAAGGTTTCATAATCTTTTGAATAGTGCTATATTTGATAATATGATTCCTACAAATACTTGAAAGTTGCCTACTAGGAGAGAAAGAGAGTTAGCAAAGGAAGGCTGTCCTATGCTTAGACTTCAGTAGATGTAGTTGCATATAAATCTCAAAGGTTGCCCAAGCAGTTAGCAATTAAAGCCCAGATTTCTCTCAGTGACTTCATACAGCATGGATATTTTTGTCTGCTTCTGAGTCTAAAGACAGATAACAGCAAATATGAGTGTTTCAAGGTGCATTCTTCCTAACAAGTGAGGACTGTACCTTACATTTTAGGGAGCTATGTGATTAGTACTATGCTAATCAGAAGTGATAAGACTGAAATTTTTGGTAGCCAGGTGTTTATTAAATATCAATAAGTTCATATAGGAACAGACTTGTGGATGCCAGGGGCGAGTCGGAGGAAGAATATATAGGGAAAAGAACATTATCAAGTGTGCGGAAGACTTTCCAGTTATCTTTGACTGCAGAATACAGAAGACTTTACAAAATATATCACCAAATCCCTTTTTCTGTTTGTTAATCAAGGGGAAAGTTTCATAACTAATTTTGGGAGTCTGATACACAACTAGGGCTAAATCTGCTCTAATTGTCACATGTTCTCCCTATAGTAAAATTGCCTTCTGATGACCGGGACGAATTGAGGGAAATCGTAACGGACAGATACGGGGCACACAATATGTAATAGCTGTCTACTAAGACTTTCATGCCACTTGTTTAAGTTGTCTCTCAAATTTTCTTTTCTTTCCTTTTTTTTTTTTTTTTTTTTTTTTTAACCCCTTCTCTCTCCCCTGCCCCCAAGGATCTCTTCGGTGCCTATGGAGTTTTCAAAAACATCTGAAAACAGAGATGTGCTAATTGAAAAGGTTGTTCTTCAGTAATTTCCTATCTGTCAAAAGATGTTAAAACTTACGGTGCTTGCTTTTTACATTGATTGAAGCCTGGACCTAGTATTTTGTGGGGAGGGTTGTGGTTTTTTGGTTTTGCTTCTTTTTAAAGCAGTGTTTTTACACATTGGGTCAGTCCTGTAAACCTAAAGCTGTCAGGGACTGTGTTAGGTTTTGGGAAAGGATAGTAGGAAGTAGGTGCAGTTGCAGCTAACTTCCAGTACAACACACAGTATGTCACTGATTCCCTGCTTGCTGAAACAGTCTTTTCGGTGTGAGCAGTGGTCCGACTTTGATGTTCTGTAAGTTGTATGTGAACTTAAGGGTTACAATGTGGCCTAAAAGCAACTTGGATGTACAGTTGTCGATTACACAATTGTTCATGGTAGTGTGTTCGAGATAGTTGCGCATGAGTCATCTGTGTTCTATGCAACACCCTGTCCTAGCCACTACTTATGTCATACTTTAAATGCGATTGTAAAAATATTTTGTATTTAGTTAAAATTTAAGACTGCAGTATTTTTATTGACTAAACACTAAGGCCATTGCTGTTGACAACTTGTATGACAGTTTCTTTGTCCTAATTTTCTGACACTTGAGTTTAAAACTTCTAATAATTCCTGTCTATTTCTCTAGAACTCACATATTGAAACGTGCAAGGGGGAGAAACCTATGTCTCCGAAGGTCTTGAAAAATGGAAAGGATGAGTCTGCCATTTCAGAATTGTGGAAGAGGGCAGGTGGTATTGTTATCCAAACAGAGTCTCCCGCCAAAAAAGAAGACCCTCTTAAGAAAGCCAGAGATGAACTGGCAGAAGAGGTTAGGAAAACTTATTTTTAAGTTGTTTGTTTGTTTTTAAATAAATGGTCATTAAGTTCAGAGAACAAATCACTAATTATATTGTAAAATGCCTCTTGTGATCTGCATACATTAAAAGATACTTTTTTCTGCTAGGTAGTCATCGGTGTCGCTAAGATTTAGGAGTGACTGCGCAACTAAGTACACTCTGAAAGCACGAAGCTTGTGCAGTTATTATACTTGCAAATCATGGTGAAGTGAATAGCACTTTCAGTAGAATCAATGTGTTGACTTTTGTCACCTCTCATACTTCATGAACCACTGCATATTAAGAATTCAACAGTCCTTTTTGTTTCTGAAGTTGTGCAGGTTAACTATTTAATAGGGACTTGGCGATTTTAAGCAGGAATTTAACTATTTCCTCTTTTAGGTATTTTATTTAACATTTAACTGAGGAATTCCTTCACAAGAGTTACTGTAAAATGTGCCACAGCTTGATTTGGAAAGTAAATTGCATCTTTCACTGAAATGGTACAGTTATTTTTTATCTGCTAAAATGTTTTACTTATGTAAATATAGCTCTAGTGTTCATGCAGGTGCAGTTCTTGACTAGTGTCTCAAATATATTTTTGTCTGGGCACAGTTTCTTATTTTAAAGATGGATTTATAGATGATGAGGGAACTCAGAATTGAATTTTGATTCTGACTCAGAAGAAGAGTCAGGACATTCCAAACTCTTCAGATCATTTGGAGAATGGGATTTATTTTGAGCCATTAGTGACAGAAATAAAGAGGTTACAATTTTGTTTTCTCAGGATTTGCCCTTCTCTAACATCCTACAGGTTGCAAAAGCAGTGGTGTCTGAGTCGCCTCAGAGTGGTGAAGGAAAAAGCATGGCATTGGAAGATCTCATTAGTTCACTAGCTTTTAACCCGTTTTTAACAAGGAGACAAATTCCCAGAACTCCAGAAAATCTGCGTAAGTGTAAAACTATGTGTTTATGATACTCATGGATTGGAAATGTGATTAGTTTATTGACATTGTACATGTTGCACAAGAAGAAAGATAATTATTTCAATGAAGCTGCAAGTTATCCTAATGTCTCACTCTGTAACACAACATAGTAGGCTGTGGTGGGTTGACCCTGGCCAAAATG